ATAGTTAACTTTAACTACTTTTTAACTGCAGTTAAGGCTAACTACACTTTTATACAACCGGCTTAACTACGTGATTAAAGTTAACTACTTTTTAACTACTTTTTAACTGCAGTTAGCGCTAACTACGTTTTTATACAACCGGCCCCTGGTCTTAATAAATGCACAAAATTTACGTTGGAAATTTCCCTCAACCGAAATCCTTCAACATTCTTAATCAATGCAGCTCTGTATATACAGATTCAGTGTAAATGATAATACTATTTCTGTCTTATTTCCTTAGCACAAAAGGGTGTTATCGTTTAAACTAAATTCAGTGTCTGCAGAGCTGCAAAGCATGATTATATTGAAATACAACGTCCAGATGCAAAGCTTAAAGCCTTCTCACTATTCAGCTTTAAACATCTCTGAAATATGGCTCCGGGTAGGAATTTAGAATTGAGCATTAATTTATGGCAAATAGTGGTCCATTTTAATCTTTTTTTTTATTCTGATTTTCAAATGACGTGGAAATACAGATGCTACAACTCGTGTAAGTTAAATAATTTTCTTTGTAAATTATTCTAATCTGTTTTTGTTAATTGTCAGTTGTATTAATGTTTTTTAATAAATTCATCTCAATAAACGACAAAAGCTGAATATTTGTTCATTATCTTTTAGGCACCTCCTACATACAACACTACACCAACGGATAAAACAACGGAAATGGTAAGTTATTTAAATGGGTAAATGCATGGAGATTTTACGATTTTTAGTCGTACTTGACTGGTACGCCCAGAGGTGGAAAAAGTATCGGAACCTGGGAACCTATAGTTTTTTGAGTTGAGAGTTTGCAGAAAATTTTCCAGAGAATATTTCACGGCAACATTTTGAGATAACTCTGTTTACTCAACTTACAACTATTCTACTTTATTTACACTGTACACACTAATATCAGCAGCCTTTTAATTATTTGACAGAAATTAATTCTGTTATCCACTCCTGCCATCACAATCATGAGGGTAAAATGGTAAATATATGCCCTGCAAAGTCTCCAATAAAATGCAAATTAAATAGTAAACTTGTAAATAAAATATGCAATGAAATATTAGCTTCAAGTGCCAGTGCTATATGCTATTATTATACTGCTATAATACTAGTATAATCATAACATTATAACAAAAAAATGCAAATCAGACAGAAAGTCAAGTGATGGAATAAATAAGATTATAGGACACTTAGTTAAGCGTTAGATCCTTACTAGTTGATCATAACTCCGAAATGTCAATTTCACACAACAGCATCAACAATGTAATCGTAGTTATTCAATAGGGAAGTGATTCAATAGCAATGTAATCGTAGTTATTCAATAGGGAAGTGATTCAATAGCAACAATTGACGATGAAAAATATTTCTTCAGTGTATTTCATATTTCTTCCGAGACGGTTGACACACATTCTCTAAAAGTACTAAAGATATCGTAAACAATAGTATAATCGAAGTAGTAGTAACCAATCAAAAAAACAACCCTAACTTTGTGATGGTTCTTATTATTTTCAAGGTAACTACTTCTCCAACATATCATCTGACAACTGTACATACGACAAAAATGGTAATTTTGCTTTATATCTTTTTACACTATAAATCTACCCATACCATTTATGGATTTGCAAAAAGGACCCAATTCTATATTTAAAGGTGCCCTGACGTTAATATTTTTTAAAGCGTTTTTGTTTACACACATTCTTTAAAAGTACTAAAGATATCGTAAACATTAGTATAATCTAAGTAGTATAGTAACCAATCAAAAAACAAATTAAAATGTATTTGTCTGCACTAGACGAATCAGGTGAAAATTTACATGGAGCCAGACAGGGATTTGTGCCAGGCCCTCTTTTCTTTCTATTCATTTGCAATTAAGGGTGGGAAATATGGCCAGATATCCAGGCTAAAATGTTTCCTGCATGCATTCCCAAATGAATGCGTTCACCATCATCATCCCCCATTAGCCCCGGCTCTATACCCATCCTGGTCCTATCAGTCCTATCACGACCCTATAACCTTCATGTCAAGATTTCTTAAAGCGGGTGTCTGTGTGTCTAATTTTATTAATATTCTCTTATGATGGGTATTGATTACTTCTTATTTTTCCAAGGTTGCTTCTTCAACTTATCCAACAACTGTACAAACGACAAAAATGGTAATCTTGCTTTCTACCTTTATATGACAGTATAAATCTATAATCCAGTGAATTTAAAACTCGTTTTTGGTTGCTATTTCATACTTAAATTGAATAAATATAAAACATTTTTACCAACTTTTGATTGTTACTCAGTAACTAAGAAGTAATTTTCTAGGGCTAACCTAGACATGGATCAAGTCCGTCCCTCCAGACTCCGAGTCGCGAAGCGACGAGATCGAGCACGCCGCGAAGCGGCGCACGAGACTAACCTCGCGCGGCCGATCCCTCGGACTCTTGAGAGAAAGACTTGATCCAAGTCTAGGGCTAACCCACTCCTAACATCTTCATGCAAAACAATAGTTAAGTTAGTGAGATTAAGAATTAATCCAAGATGGCGGACAGTTCATCAATGAGGCGAGATATAAAACAAGATTTTACAAATAATTTTAACGTTCTTTCAAATAAGACAATGAAAATGTTTGTTGCCATTGTCCTTCGGGTGATTTTTTGCTGATGGTTCTTATTATTTTCAAGGTAAATATTTCTCCAACATATCATCCGACAACTGTACATGCGACAAAAATGGTAATTTTGCTTTATATCTTTTTACACTATAAATCTACTCATACCATATGTGGATTTCTAAAAAGGGCCCAACCCTTGCTGTTACCCAATTCCATATTTGAAGGGGCCCTGACGTTAATATTTTTTAAAGCGTTTTTTTGTTGCCATTGTCTTTTAAGTAATTTTTTGCTGATGGTTCTTATTATTTTCCAGGTAAATACTTCTCCAACATATCATCCGACAACTGTACATCCGACAAAAGTGGTAATTTTGCTTTATACCTTTTTACACTATAAATCTACCCATACCATATAGGGATTTGTAAAAAGGGCCCAATCCTTGCTCTTACCCAATTAGGGGCCCAACGCTTGCTGTTACGCAAAAGGTGCCCTGACGTTAATATTTTTTAAAGCAGTTTTTTGGTGACTTAGACTTTTATTCCCTTGCTTAGAATGGTACAGAAACGTCTCAACTGAAGGAAGCTGAAAAGATCAAGAGTAAAGACGCAGCCAAGAAATTTCTTACGGTATGTTTGTTTTTTAAAGAAAAACTATTGAAAAGCCGGTCTAATTCTATTTTGGAACCATCATCAAGGAAACTTGAAAATGTTTCCCTGACGAGCCCGCAAAGAAACAAAAAGTGGCCTGCGACTTGCTTGTGTGTATGCCCACAAGCAATTTTGGCCAATATAAGAAGTGAGTAACATCTTGCTGGCAGATGCCATCATCCCATGGGTATATAGGAAGTCACGTTGCGACTTCAGAACACTCCTGATGAAGACACTATTTTGGAGTGTCGAAACGTTGGGTCGTGAATACAATGGACCTTTCCCCTTATAACTAAAATTTCGATCTAGACAAAAATTTCATCACAGCTTGAAAGAGCATCACAAAATTAGTAATATTCCAAAGTTTTGTTGCAAAATCTTGTAAAATGCGGATAATATAGCCTTGCGAAGTTTACCGTTTTTCAGTCATTTTGTATTACAAACGGGAAATTGACATTCGATTCGGGTGTTGGGGCTGCAATTTCCCGTTTGTAATGCAAAATGACTGAAAATTGCAAACTTTACAAGGCTCTATTTTCCTCATTTTACAACATTTTGCAACGAAACTTTGGAATATTACTAATTTTGTGACGCTCTTTCAAGCTGTGATGAAATATTTGTCTAGACTTGCCTGGATCAATATTTTGGTTATAAGGGGAAAGGTCTATTCGACTGGCTTTTGCATCCATGCATGTATTAAAACCAGAGTAGCAGGCGAAACGTAGTTGCCGTGAACTCACAATGTTTATTATTCCCTCATTTAGGAAATTGTTGGCGAGCAGATCGTAGTGAGAAATGATTCAAGAGGTGAAACGAACAGTGCGATAAAATTTACTAAACTACTAGAAGATATTGGACTTACCTTGGCACGAAACACGCTGGAGGTTAATGAATCGGAAACTGTCGATACTCCAAGCACATGTAAGTTTCATTGTTGCGCAAAAATATCTATAAACTATAGGCCGAGAAATAATGAACACGCATGCTTCATGACTTGTTGAAGAGTGTAGTAAGTCTATGGTAATCTATAATGGTATAAGTTCTTTGAATGTTTGCATGGCGATAAAATATAATTGTTTTTGTTTGTGGAAACACCACGTAAATTTATTACTGCAAAAAAAATTTAAAAAAAAAAACATAAAAAAATATTAAAATTTAAAAATTAAAATTAAAATTAAAATTTAAACACCACGTAAATTTTATAAATTTACGTGGTGTTTCCACAAACAAAAACAATTATAATGGTATACTTCAATATTATTGCCACGTGCTTTAGCTGGCACAAGACTCAAGGTGTGCTTAGTCTTTTTCTAAAAGATATTCATTCTGAAACCTGAAATTACCAGTTATTTTCTATTTTAGTTTTGTTGATGAATAAACCAGTATCTGGATTTACATTTCCATCAGTGGAACAGCAAAGTGCAAAGAAAATCGATGAAACTATTTCGTTTCCGGATGATTTAGTGAAGACTGATGATGGAGGTAGTGAACACTCTCTTTAACTACAATTAGTATACATTGTAGTCACCACGTGACGTCTGAGCTAAATATGGCAATTACGCAATCTACGTACGGTCTAAAGGGGGGACGTATGTCATTTTATAGCAAACACCATCTTAATTACATGCACCAGTAAAAACGGGGGGAAATGAATGTTTTCTGTGGATTGTGACTGTTTTCTGGGGATTGTGATTATTTCTGTATTTTTCCGTCTTAGTGCAAAGAGCTTTTGTTTGCATGGCCTATTCAAACCTGCACGAAAACATGGCTAGTGAATTTACAATGTAAGTGATGATTTGTATTATATTTTTATTGATAACAAAGACTAACGTCGGTACAATTCGCATGAGTTCCCCAAACAGATCTACATCGATAAATTACACATCATTAATGAGTTTTGATGGACAAAAAGCCCGACCCTTAATTGATTAGCAAACCTTGCCATGCACGGACTCAGTGACGTAACTACTACTGTATGGGCTCGGACCGGGCGAAGCCGGGGGCCCCAACCCCAATGGCCCAAATGGGGGCCCCCAGGCTCAAGCTGTAGAGCAAAAACATTGGCCAGGGCCTGTGATATATCACAATGTCCGCGTTTTCTGACCATCAGAATTCTATAAAATCTCCCCCCAAAGTCCGGGAAACGGCATTTCAGAGAGTATAGATTCAAAACGTTTCCGGGTGAGCATGCCCAGGACCCCTAGAAAACTCGTGCATATGCGGCGCTCAACTCGTGCCTTTGGCACTTTTTGAAACGAAAATTTTGAACCGGGGGCCCCCTGATATAATGTTACGCCACTGCACGGACTCGTTCATTCGAATTATAACTAAGGCCTGTTTTATACGTCGAATTTCGGTCGCGCCGAATGCAATTTAAACAACAGATAATGAAGCTTAATGAGGTTTATCATCTCATCTAATATTGTTTGAATTGCATTCGACGCGACCAAAATTCGACGTATACAACAGGCCTAATGCAGTTTTCGATCATTGGCGAAATCCAACTTCTAACGAAACGTTTTTTCTCTAGATCGTCTGATTCGTTCGAACCAAACACGACATTCGAATTGAACAGCAAAATTATTGGAGCTGCTGTTTATCCGCCATTGAACAAATCTCTAAACAACCCAATTACAGTCACCTTCAGTCATGCTAAGGTTTGAATTTTAAACCTTTGATTTTTTGGCAATATTTTTTTATTTTCTCATTTAAAGAACTTTTAAGACTGTATATAATACTCTTTTACCATGTTTTCATATCGTGCTTACTTTTACAAATATTTTGATTGAAAGGAATGAAATGTTCGCCATCTTGACATCTTGTACTGATATGTATGTCACGTCACAACTGGGGTCACGCAATATTTTTATCTAGACAACCACTAATCATTTTGCACTCAAAACTATACTCTGTCTGCCCTTCAAAATATCAAGATCACTCAAAACCTTTAAAACATCTACCAATCAATATTTGGTCAGCAACGAATACTTTTAGATGGTTAATCCCTGTTGTGACGTCACCAAGAGTACCGTTAATGAGATCAAAATTTATCCAAGATGGCGGTCATCTCATTACTTCAAGTGAAAATATTTCAAGAACTAAGCAAGATATGAAAAATCGGTAAAAGAAGTTAATATAGAGTTTCAAAAGTTCTTTCAAATGAGAAAATAAAAGTTTATATTGCCATTTCCCTTTGACAGACATGTTATGTACCTATCAATTATGTAAATCCCAGGGGAGAGGGTTTTGGCAAAGGGTTATGGGTTTTTCCTTGATTGTACATTATCGTTTTTGACCTCGGCATTTAACGCTTTTTTACTTGTTTGTTTAGATATCTTCTGGCAAACAGATTTGTTCATTTTGGAATCACTCAATAAGGTAGCTGATTTCGGATATGTTCACGTGCTTTTTGTATTTATAAGATACCAGTGCATTGGGTGCGTGGGTTTGTCGGTCACCACAATAAGTCAAAAAATATCCAACATATTAATACGAAAAAGTCCAAGAAAAATCGATTAAATTTTGGTTCAATTTGGATAAAAATTGAACGAGAAATTAGCAACAGTTTATCTTGCTTTCAAAGACACAATAAACTGAATGCATAATTAGTCTATTTTATAATTTATGCATTAGACGTGATATAATTTATTGGCGGAAAAGTACCTTCTAGTTTCTTTCTGCTTCAGAACCTATGTACAACGGAGCGTACTTGTGAATATAGTTAGGTTTGATAATGGCTTTGAAAAAACGTTCAAATCTTCATCTTGAATTTCATGCCTTGTTTTCCAACAACTCATATTTCATATGTGTTTTCTTTATAATTTATATTCCTTCGCTTGTAAATGATTTTCGATTCATTCAGATGAAGTTGTCGTAAGATTATAATATTTCTAGTTGATTAATAAATCACTATTGTACATTAGAGAATGGTCAACACAAGGCTGTGAACTTGACGAGGAACACTCAACATCTACCAAGACAGTCTGTCTGTGCAATCATTTGACCAACTTTGCCTTGTTGTTGCAACGTGAAGGAGCCGTAAGTGTCTTACTGTACATTTTTCCCTTTTGTGGGAAGCCCCTACTTCCTGAAGCACTCCTAATCAATGCAGAGTGTTTTTTCTTTGCCCTTATTCTTTCTTTATTACTTTACATTGCAGTTCCACTATAATATATTAGCTAGAATTTGTTATTAGATATGCGCAGTAAAAGTGCGCGTTGCAAAACTGATGAGTCACCTTAAAGGAATAATCCATTGACCACAACGTTGCTAATTTTGTCCACTTTGCCTTTTGGGCAACCATCAATTAAGGCATCAAAAATCTTCGTATTACTGTCGTCCTATTATCTCAATTTGACTTCTGGCGGTAAGGCTATAGCCCCCTTCCCCGCCTGTTTCAAAGTGTGTAAACAGCCCCTTAGGTATTAAAAAACGGTTTAAAATATACTTTGTTTGCGTTCGCTAGTTTTAGTTTGCGTGAAATAGAACTGATATTTCAACTAAGATTATTTTCGGGCAGATTGTCTAATTCTGAAGACCGGGTGTAAAATCGGGAGAATAATTCAATATATACCAGGGTTTATTTTATTTTCTCGTTTCTTTAGCCATACAGTGACCCTCCTCTCTCACTGAAAATAATCACAATCATTGGATGTACATTATCAATTCTTGCTTGTATACTTTGTTTCATCATGTTCTTTACACTCAAGTAAGAATCATAATGATTATTATTATCTATAATCTATTATTATTTATAATTATGCAGACTAACTTCGTTAGAAAATTAAGTTTCTGATATCAACGAGGAACCTTTGAATTAAAATTATCAAAAATTTAAATCAAGGTTTAAATCAAAGTCTCCTTAAATCTTCAAGAGAAATTTAATCGCTCTGAGGTGTATTCAGTTAGTTATATACCAATGACCCTTGATAGGCAAATTACTACTTTCCAATTGTTGTACATACTTTTTGAATCTGTACTAGTGATCCATTTCCGCGAGTGTTTTGACTCTGTTTCAATGTGCATGGTTACGAGATATTTAAAGATACCAACAGCGATGTTTCTGTATTGTATGAAGACTGTCCATATATGCAACTGCCTGTGAGGCAATGGGCCTAATTATGGTATTATAACGCCAAAAATTTAAACATTCTTTTATTATAGGAAGAAAGATATCCGTCATTATCTGCATATTAATCTCGCATTTGCTATCGCTGTTGCGCAGCTAATACTGCTGTTTGGTATCTCACAAACAAAATATGAGGTTAGAAACTTTTATTTTGCCATATACCCACAGCAATTTTCTCTAACTCGTTCCCTTATTCCGCTATCAATCAAAGGCTTTCAGAAATTATTGCATACGAGAGGTACATTATATACTATTTTAACATCATGTTTGTGGGTATTCGTTAGATTCTCTGCAAAGCCATGGCCGCATGTCTACACTATTTCTATATGGTTGCATTTCTCCTCATGCTCTGTGAAGGTGTTCATTTGGCAATTTTGATTGAGACGGCGTTCTCGCATGGTGAACTGAAGCTGCCTGTTTACTTGATTACAAGTTGGGGTAAGTTGAAGAATTTTCAAAAGTACAAGTCAGAGCTGCAAAATTACTGCGCAAAAAGGTATTACACTGTGAATTTCAACGAGTGTAAGGCGTTTTTGGTGATAGAATAGCACTTTTGGAGTTCATTCGACTCCTTCAAATCCAGTATAAACTACGATTGCAATAGAGAACTCCCATTATAGGCCAATTTTAAAACTAGGCAAGGAGATGCAAATGAATCACCACAGTTAGAAAGAACATACTCAAAATGAGTAAAATTGCAAAGTTTGGTTGCGAAATGTTGTATATAAAATACGGAAAATATAGCCTTGCAAAGTTCTCAAATTTTGTATATTACTTTTGTATTGCGTGCGCCGTGCGGAAATTGCTACCACATTTGGGCCGAAAATGGTAGCAATTTCCGCACGCAATACAAAAGTATACAAAATTTGCGAACTTTGCAAGGCTATATTTTCCGCATTTTACAACATTTCGCAACCAAACTTTGCAATTTTACCCATTTTATTATGCTCTTTCCAGGAATATACTTCTTTTGCCAAGATAAAAATTAGTCTATAATGGGAATTGTCAATTACTTGTTTCAAAAGGCAATTAATCCATTGAGCTGCGCTGCGCCCTGATGCGCCCTACTCTATTATAATTACTTGTATAAAAGAAATAATTTTAACTGAGAAAATCAAGGGGAAAGTTTATTGAAAAAAGGAGAATTTTGTATATGTGGATACAACAACTCGTTAAATAATTAATTTCGTTTGGAATTTTCTTGATGAATTAAATAGTTTGTTCGAAAGGAATGAAATGTCTGTCATCTTCATTTTTTGTAGATATGCATGTCACGTCACAACAGGGGTCACGCAATATTTTTATCTAGACAACAACTAATCATTTTGCACTCAAAACTATACTCTGTCTGCCCTTCGAAATATCAAGATGACTCAAAACTTTTAAAACATCTGCCAATCAATATTTAGTCAGCAACGAATACTTTTATATGGTTAATCATTGTTGTGACGTCACCAAAACTACCGTTAATGAGATCAAAAATTTATCCAAGATGGCGGATATCTCATTTCTTCAAGTGAAAATATTTCAAGAACTAAGCAAGATATGAAAAATCGGTAAAAAGAAGTTTATATGTAATATATGAACAACGAGAGCGAGTGTTTCACCGGGATATCCAAACACGAGAAAACAATGTATGCAGAAAACACGAGCGCGAAGCGCGAGTGTTTTCATACAATAGAGAGGTTAAGATACCCCGGTATACGGGTACGGGTGATATACACGTACCCGTAAGTCGGGGAACGACTTGTAACTTAAGAAATCCAAGATATTCCGGCGTGTGAAAACCGATCAGAGAATGGTAACTTTCGCTGTTGAGGTTCGCCATAAATTGTTGAAAACTTTGACGAGCATATGTGCATTATTTATTTGGGTAAGATGTTGAAATTTTTTACTATTTAAACGGCCGACATATAGTAAACAGAAAACACCCGTACCCGTTTGTCTTTTACGTGTAGACCATGGTTTACCGCGGGGAAACGGGTAGAAATTACGGGTAAGAATGCTGACATCAGCAAAAATTGCTAAACAAAGTGGCGATACTCGTACCCGTAAATCGGAACCGGGGTATCTTAACCTCCCTATTGTTTTCGAGTGTTTGGATATCCCGGTGAGACACGATCTCGAGTTGTTTATATGGCTTCTCAAATGAATCGAGACGTAACAGAATGTTTTCGTTTGCTGATTTGAATAGAATTCTTAACCAAGCATAACGTAATTAGGAATTCTATTCAAGTAATTTTGCATGCGTAATTAAGATATTTGATGAAAACACTAGTGACTTTCATCAAGTTTCACCGGGTTATCCAAATGGCATCTTGTGATCAAATAGGTGATTATCATTGTCTGAATTGCTCATTAATTATTAATGTATTTGAGAAATAGTTTTAAAAGTTCTTTCAAATGAGAAAATAAAAATTAATATTGTCATTTCCTTTAATGTTTATTTTTAACTAGGATTGCCGTTAATAATTGTGGGAATAACTTTGGGAGTTCGTTATGATAACTATGGTGGAAGCATCGCGTAAGTGGATTCCAATATTTTATATTTTAGGCTACGTTTACACGCTGCGATTTGTCGGGCCGATTTTGGTAAATATAATCGATGCCCCTTCTTCGACATTTAGTGATTTAAACGTTCAATTGAAGCTGTCCGCTCTCTCGTCTGTTCATGTTATAGTTTTCTGCGTGCGAAAAGTTTTCAACAATTTTACAACGGAAGAAAAATCGTTGAATCGTGAGAAAAATCTGTGGTTTTGTTACAGATTTTTCTCCCGATTTTGTGAATCGCAAGGTGCTGACGCGAGTACTCACGACAGGTTATTTACATACAGCGAGCAAAATCGGCCCGACAAATCGCAGCGTGTAAACGTACCTTTATACGACAATTGTGTTATAACACTAGTTCTGTTTAATTCTAATTTTGGGATGCGATATGGATTTTTTGGTCCTATTTTGTATAGATGTTTTCTTTCTGCTGACCAAGGGACTGTCTACGCTTTCGTTGGTCCGTTTGCTTTTATTATGTTGGTAAGACATCGTAGGGATTATTTTATGGTGCAGGGATAACCAATTTATGCAGTGATAGATTTTGTGGATGCATGTAATAATGAATTTTCCCCTAATATTTAAGAAATATAGGTGTTAAGAAATATTGAATTGTCTTTCATTAAACACCCTGTATAATTGCTACCTACTTTCTTCTGTTTTAGATCAATTTTGCAATTCTCGTCATAGTTCTAAGGCAGGTTGTTAGGAAGACATCGTTACCAATCTCTTCGAAAACCGCATCGAAGTTTGAAATTGCAAGGTTCGTTCAATTAGCCTTTCTCACGATGACGAATATCCGCCATTTTTGGGTGGCATCCGATTCTCGTTAACCAATGTAGACAATTAAAACAATGCGAAAAGCAATTTTTCAAAATAAACTAGCCATTTACAAAGCAAATTTACCATAATTTTTCAAAAAAATTATAACAAGTCGCTGTTATGTGGACTTATCTCGCAGACTTCAACTGAAATGCCACCCTCTATAGAATAGGATTTCAGCACGTGTATTATATATATACGTGTGTTTTTTGAACTAGCTAATCGGAGGATGGACAAACACCCTTCTTTTAAACTATAATTAAATGGGAGAATTGTTGTCTTTCCTTAGCTATTGCATTAGAACCAATTCATAGGTTACTGCATGGTAGCGTCAGTAATATAAGATACTCCGAATATTAACAATAGTTATGCGATTGAAAACAAGATCAAAACAGAAACAGAAGTTCCCCCGTTTCAAGTGTCACATGTGAACGCGCAAAGCCCGATACAGTCCCGTGTGTAAACAAGACGTTACCCATAATTAAGTGAATTTTCTTTTATTGTCATAGAGCAACGATTCGTTCATTGATAATCTTATTTCCAGTGATGGGTTTCACTTGGATATTTGGAATTTTGTTTTTCGGATTCCGTACACTGGCGCTCGAATATCTTTTTGCGATATTCTGTTCGCTTCAGGTATGGTTAATTAAATTAAACAACCGTTGAAAATGTGCCGTATACATAACTGGAATTTTGTTTTTCAACTTTTTATCATTATTTTGTAATGCAAATTAATTAAAATGTTTGGTTTATTTTAGGGTTTCTTCATATTTTTGTTTCAATATGCACTTAACACAGAGGTAGGGTGTTATTTTCTATCTTTTTAGTCGAGTTGGATGAGTGATGAGTCTTTATATTTAACAATAATTACAACTGTGCAGCTTAGAATCATGCAGGATCTGTTGGAATTTGAGATTGTGAAACGACATGATCCTAGAACTTGATCAAACTTCATGTGGTTTAAAACTTAATTAAATTTCATCCAGTCCTAGGACTTGATCAAACTTCATCCAGACCTAGAAGTGGATCAAATTTCACCCAGTCCCAGGAGTGGATCAAATTTCACCCAGTCCTAGGTCTTGATCAAACTTCATCCAGTCCTAGGACTTGATCGAAAACGTCATCCAGTCCTAAGACTTGATCAATCTTCACACAGTCCTAGGACTTGATCAAACTTCATCCAGTCCTATGAACTTTATCAAACTTCATTCAGTCCTAGGACTTGATCAAAACTTCATCCAGTCCTAGGACTTGATCAAACTTCATCCAGTCCTAGGACTTGATCAAACTTCATCCAGTCCTAGGACTTGATCAAACTTCGTCCAATCCTATGCCTTGATCAATAACTCCATCCATTCTTAGGACTCCATCCAGTCCTAATGCCTGGTGCTAGGACCATGACTTGAGCACACTCCATCCAATTTCTCATAAATCATATTCCGTTTTTAGAACCGGTCAGCGTTCATGCGTGCAACGCGAAGATTGCGTTTAACATTCTCATCATCTACCCACAGCACATCTGCTAATGGCCTGAAACACACCACTGAAACTAAAGGCAAGATTTCTTCACCTGAACCGCCACAGGAAGAAGATTCTTCAACTAAGGATAATTGTCATCTCGTATTATACCGTACTGTTGATGACCCAGCTGGTGGCACGATAGACAGTCGAACTACAAGTACATTTATATAGCACCCACACTAGTAAACACTGGTGTGACTGTACAGTAGGTAGCCGTACCACAAGTATAGGTATATAGCTCAAAAATCACCAACAGGCTTTGGTGTATTAAGCAGGTAGCTTTTGAACCGTCTGTTGGCCTCTATAACTCTTCCAGTAAAGAGAAAAATCGTTCAATGTTCCACATCGATCGCACTTTGTAAACAAATAACTCTATTTAGAATCACACCCACTCAGCCAATCAGAACTCAGTCTTTTAGTGGTCTGTATCCCATGAACTGCCTCACAATAAGCGTCATGGCAATTACAGTTGGTAATGGGCTATATAACTCATTATTTAGTATGTTCTATTTTGGAGAAGAGAAGAGGAGTTATTTCACCTTTATTTGTCAAACGAGAAACCACAGGCAAAGCAATCAGGACTGCAAATTTACTAGTTAGCTACAGTCCTGGTCAAAACCGTCTGCGACATTCTATTAAAACATTCCTCTGTTTTTACTTTTGCACAAGAATAATACACTCGTCTTCTCCCCCGGCTCAAAACAGTGTTGGACGCATAAAAATTGCTTTAACCGTATTATGGGAATGGAATCAATATTAAATACTTAAATTGTGAAAGCTAGGGGAGGTTTTTCTAACTTTGCGATGATATTACGAAATTTGGTCAAACAATGGAAATGTCGCAGAAGTTTCTAAAATATTTTAATTGACATAAACTAAATTGCATAAATACGTGTAACGTATAGCCTTAAAGCATTAAACATACTTTTCAAGTTTGTTTGTTGATTGAGTATAAGAAAATTAAAATTTTAATATAGTCGTATCACATAACTATGCTGATTATAGCTAGTTTTGAGCACGTGTTATACGTAACCTATATATTTAATATTTTGAGGACGTCGATGGCGCAGTCCGAGAATTTTAAATAGCGAGTTTGGCAAGATGAATTACCGTTCAGTTTTTCTTGCTACAACCATTCTGATAAGAGAAAAAAGTTGTTTGATTGCCCGTCATGATTTGGATGAAAAGTCACGTAATTGCAATGTATTTTACATGTATGTCCTATTAGCCATTTCGAAGTTGATGAGTGCACTGGGGACGAGTGTTAAAAAGTGCCCAAATTAAGAAATGAACCAAATCACTAAAAAGACCACCTCAAAATTAGTAAGAATACAAAGTTTGAAGACGTTTACATGAATATCCTTCGAATAATAAGCTTTCGAAAATCGCGATATTTACTATGAAATGTAATTGGGACGCGCGTCCCAAAAACAATCTTTTAATCAGTAATTTCATAATTTTCGAAAGCTTATTATTCGAAGGATATTCATGTAAACGTCTTCAAACTTTGTATACTTACTAATTTTGAGGTGGTCTTTTTAGTGATTTGGTTCATTTCTTAATTTGGCCACTTTTTAACACTCGTCCCCAGTCCACTCATCAACTTCGGAATGGCTAATTTTGTAGATGGAAATTATCGAGTGGAAATTATATATATATATATATATATATATATATATATATATATATATATATATATATATATATATATATATATATATATATATATATATATATATACATATACATATACATATACATATGCATATACATATATATATATATATACTAACCTGAGTATCAGGCCGTACTTTTTAGGGCACAGGCACGCCTGATCGTGGGCGAAGGGGAGAAAAGTACGGCCTGACACAAAAGTGGCATTTTGCCTGGTTTGTTCAGTCCAGAATCTGGACTGAGCGCTGATTGGCCGATTAGACAAACGATTTTTAAATCTGTCATTTGATTGGCTGGTGCTAATTAGATTATACTATTGTTGTTGATATATTTTATAACGATCACAATTCACAATTACAATTATAGCCGGCCCACTAAACGGCTGAATTTAAATTAAAACTGCAGTAAAATTAGAAAATAATCGCAAATTAGCGAAATATATTGCAAATGTAGTTTATATTAAATCGCCATCAGATTGCACTATCGACTGACGTATAGTTATAAAGTATACTTTATAATTATACGTCAGTTTGTTGATAAATACGGCAAGCGCCATGTAAAGCTCATTGTAGTCACTGAAACCTCTGCGGAGGAGAGAGCAATCGGGTGGCGATTTAATATAAGCTACATTTGCAATATATTTCGCTAATTTGTGATTATTTTTGTTAATTTTATAAGTTCATTGCAGTTTTAATTTAAATTCAGCCGTTTAGTGGGCTGCTATGCTATAATTAGATTGTTGTTGTCGTTGTGTGAAATTCAAATTTCTCCTGCGACATTTTGATTGGATACTAAATATAAACTTTGCTGTGGGCGGAAAGCGATCAGGTTAAGTTTTGTGTCAGGCTCTATTTGCAAAATAGAGCCTGATACTCAGGTTAAGTAACTAGAGCAACATTCGCATTCTGTATTTTTTAAATTTGTTTTTAACTTTATTTTTGGCAAGTTGTAGTTTTTCGCCTCTTGCTGCCATGTTGGAAAGAGGACAATTTGTTTTGCGCATGCTCGATGTCCAACACATTTTTTATTTTTTTCAAAATTTGGGCACGGCACCGCTTGCTAGACGTGCCGAGACTACCGGTGAGAAAGTCTCGGCACTTTAAATTTTGCGGCACTGGTGCCGATTTTTGTCGCGTTTACATGCCAAAAGGCAGAGGTGCCGTGCCTAAAATTTTGGGCACGGGTGCCCATTTTTAGGGGTGCCGTGCCCAAAACACTGGTCGTGTAAACCGGCTTTATACCCGCTATACCACAGCCGCTACTGACACTGGCAAAGACCTTTCGAGGTCATGTATCTAGTGTGACCTGCTTTTTGTTATCGTTTGCTTCCCGTTTTTTAAATACTTGACATGCAGATATATGATTACCATATGTCACTATACTTAAGTATATATAACTTGATATGCTGAGTCGGCCAAAGTCAAGGTAAAGTCATTGAATAGCATTCTAACAAAGAACCGTGCACGCTTGGTATTATGCTGAGTATAATATATAGTTATCTTATTTTGTACAAACAACATAAAATTATAACAAAAAGGTAAACTAAAATAATAGCCATGGTTTATATTGTTTAAATCGATCACTATCATCCTAGTATAGCAGCTGCGCACTAATTGTCTGAACAATTATTGTGCCTAAATTTAGTCAGTAACATGTCAATTTGATATTTATCTTACATGCATAGATATGAATTTTCAATAAAATTCTGACAAAACATCATTCTTTTTGATCTACAAAAAACAATCCCGGGTAAAGAAAATAATTTATTTCTACACTTTTAGATCAAGATTCATCACGGCAGCTATATATATAGGAATTAGGGCTGTGCCATGCATATTGATTAACTGGTTTTTCTCCAAACGGTATTCTATAAACTCATGACGCGTAAGTCTTATGTGAATGAGTCATGTTTCGCCTTTACATAGTAATCAAGTCTGCAATGTTTTCATTTATAAGCAGAAACAGCTGCTTCCTAAACTTCTATACATTCAAATAATACATAATAACGGATAACTATACGCGTTTATTTAATAGTTTTACAACTTTCTTATTGTTAAAGCTTTCTCTACTTAATTTAAAGAAACATATTTAATAACAATAGCGAAAACGACCAGCCAGTTTATAGTAAGATTACTCTGTAAGGAAACTATACTAGACAAGCGCGCCGGAAAGTCAAGAATATAATATACATGTATTATACTGATAGTTACGGTTGCCATTGAGTAATTTTAAAAAGAACAAAACATTTTCGGAGTGTCTATTGTTTTGTTCTTATACTGCATGCAAATACTTGATAGGGCCATCTTTTGGGACACGTTATACTCTGCACATTAGCAAACTTTAAGGTCGCAACTGATACTGATTAATTCCGTTTGCTCTTTGATTCTTTGATCTTTTGATGCTTTGATCTAGATTTTCCTGTTCCTCAGTAAATCTTGGATAGATTTCTTAATTCTTACATAGCACAATGAATAATTATTATAACACGGTATAACACAAATTATACTGATTTTAAATCATCAAGTTTGTACGCCATGATTGTTGTTGATCTACCCAGTTGCATGCTGATTTCTAAAAATGAATGCATGCGTAGTATGGCGAACAATTGGCACTGTTTAGTGCTTTAACTGCCACACATGCACTAATCATGGTGTCATTTTTCAGAACTAAAAAGAAATAACGAGTTTGTCTGATGTCTCGAGTACGTATATATATATATATATATACGAAAATAATACTTTTTTAAGCCTGGTTTCCATATGGTCGTAATAGTCGTAAGAATAGAGTCACGATCTTTCTCAACGGCCTTAATAGTTTATATATAGCTACCTGTAAACCACATATAAATCATAAGTAGCTATTCTCTAGCTATAATCATTCCGCGTATTTTCAGTTCTAAAATGTTGTATTACGACCACATGGAAACCAGGCTATAGTCAGACTCAAGCATCTTTATATTGCGTAGCAAATTTTTAATAGTAGGTTGAACAAAAAATCTTCATCTTGTGTAAATATACTAAACGTTCCACTTGTCTATAGGTAGCTAAAACTCCGATTATTTAACAAGGACGTATTGTATGTTAAAATTAAGGCACATTTACACGCTGCGATTTATCGTGTACGATTCGCCAGTTCTGGCATCAGAATATTACTGCTGACGCCGCAATTTCTCTTTATATAATATTTACTATAGTTTATAGCAAAATTTGAAACGCAACCACTTTACGCGTACTTATTCGATTACATATACGCCAGGTATAAACGTACATTTTCAGTAACTATGCAGGTTGTTACGTGTATAATTTAACTTACTGCTTTTTCTTGAATATCGAACAGTTTTCACGTCTTGCTTGGGTAAGATCTTGACATGAATGGGCTCAACGTACAAGTTCCGCTGCAGTGTGATCTGTATAGTATGAGGGGAACTATGTTTGAGTGTTTTAGCCATCCACTCGGAAGTCGGGATTTTTAAGGAATATCATTGGACAAACCTTAACCATAAATACATAATAGCGAAACTGTACGTCATGCAAAATGCAGCATTGAAAACAATACTAGGCTTAAATAATTATATAGGCCAATATAACTCCGGATATAATTACCATGAAAGAATATGAAAGATGACTTCTGTTTGTGAAATGTTGTAACAACAACACTTTGTATTATATAAACAAACTTGTCTGATATTTCGTTACGTCTCTTTGTAATTTTGATCCATACCAAAAAAGGTTGTATTTCCCAAAGACAAGCCATATTTTTACTTGATTATTCCTCTTGAATGAAACAGGCTATTGTTGGCAAACTTTTGAGGTAAAATAACTCTATCTGCTCTATCGATATGAAAATTTACTCATGACATGAATTTGGTGATGAGTAATTTTGATCACAATTTTACAATTTTGAGCCACAGCGTGTGGGTGCATTGTTAATTTTTACTCATTGACAAGTTTTTGAGCCAAAATTAAATTTTCAGAGATTTTTAATATATATATATATATATATATATATATATATATATATATATATATATATATATATATATATATATATATATATATATATATATATATATATATATATATATATATATATTGCTCAGTTTTGAACCTAGTTAACTTTTTAACTGACGAAGACCTAAGTTACTGGTCGAAACGTCTTAACATCTTTTTAAATAAACGTAGTTTTTAACGTTTTTTTATCAAACCAGCGTCAACCTTTCTACATCTTAATAATATGTCTAATCCTGGTTACAATAACATTTTTAATTATATATATATATATATATATATATATATATATATATATATATATATATATATATATATATATATATATATATATATATATATATATATATATATATATATATATATAATGCGCGGTATAAATTGACAATGCATGCACCCACATGGCGTGACTCAAAATTTTGATTAAAGTTACTCGTCACCAAATCCAAATGATGTTTATGAAAATCAGTATGACCAGACAACACATCCCATGTTGACATGCAGCCACATGCAGGCCCTGCTGCACCAAGAGCAGGTCACATGAAATCTTGTGAAAAATTAGTGATTATTTTTTCAAATAAATCACAATACAGCTTTCAGCAAAATCGTATCTGATTGATCAGTTGTATTTTGTTTGACTGCAAGCGTATACTATAGCAACCATGAAAATTTAGCATGTTAATATATTTTAACCAAAACTGGCGTCTTTTACGATCCTTTATAAACTAATTTTTTACTTACACAGAAATTTTAGTTCTCAAGTAAAACTTTACAGTTCAAAATAGTTTGAAACTTTTTATTATTGGCAAATCATGTCACTGACCATATTACTTATTATGTCACGTGAAGAGGCTTTATAATTATACCTGATAAAACTCATCTAGTTATTAGTACTCTTCTTATAAAAGTCCATCCTATAAATTAGTATTCGTTATATAAAGAATACTGAGACGGCATCTATTGTGGTCGTGTTTGAAGCTATTTAAAACACTTGTACTCGTGTTTTATCACATCTAAAATGCACGTGCTGCGCACTCGCATTTTAAATATGATAAAACACTCCTACGGGTGTTTTAAATAGTACGACAAACGGTGTTAATAAATACCGGGCCGTAGCTATAGGTGATAACACGATTTTGTTTACAAGATTTTGCAGGGCCCCTATAGCCTAGCTGCCACGCAGGCTAGGCCCCTATAGAAGTTATACTTTCCCATGAGGCAAGCGGGCCTGTGGAAGAGGCTGATATGGTGATAAGGTTGGTTGGGGGGTCAGGGTCATGTTATAAGCCTGAAATTACAAACCTAGTAAGTTATTTCATTTTGAATGGTTATAAGTGTTGTAACCAATAATCTAGCTTATTAATTAACTTACAACATCATGCGCATCGTCGGTTGTGTGAAAGTGAATTATTAATGCTGCGGCTTTCGATTTACCGCACGGCCATCCTTTTCCGGCGATTGTTTTCGCCTTGAAACAAACAAGTTGCCAAGGACCATTTTCATTTTGTTACATGCAGGTAGGCCAAGGGCACGGTTTTTTAAATTAATTATATATGTCAAATTTTAAGCATTATAAAAATTTCTTTTTGAAGCTGTTTATTCTTTATTACTATTATTATTATTAATCTATTTCGCCCATAGAATAGAGTATTCTCAGAATAGAGAAAATTTTAAGAGAGCTAATGATATAATAATACTATACAATTTCTATAATAAATCTCGGAATTTTTATATTAAGTCAGTCTAAAATTCTATACAAACAACTCATTACCGTTATTTCAAGATTGCACCCGATAACATTTCCCCTAGCAACTAGTGTTTGTTTCAATGCAACTGAACAATCACCATGAGAAACGGAGACCAGCTTGAAATGGTATAGCAAAATCGAATTTTGTGTTTTGATTCAGTGGTCTTTAGTTTATGGGTATTTTTTATATATAGATTTAGTTTGAGCTCTATTTAGATTGACTATAGTTTATTATAATCACTATTATAGATATTGATTCAATTACGCATTGTGGTTTTGCCGTTGGCGTTACTTGTTTTCGTGATATTTAATTAGATCACGAAGGAGGGCACTATCATGAACTATATATGAAGAGATTATTTCCGCAACTGCATGTTTTGCGCCATCAGATGATCAGTTATCAAGTATTGTGTCCGGCAGAGTGATATAGATGACCCTATTTTTGTGACTTATAATGGCCTCGTGCATGGCAATACGTACCAGCTTGTACTCTTCCTATCCGGGTTTATATATATATGATCAGACGGGACTATTTTGCTGTGCAGTTTATCTGAATTTGCAAGCCACAAATTGACGTTTAACTATGATTACTGCATGGCCATTTTCTTGTGAAATATTAGTGCTAGGCATTTCACACATACCAATTACCATCCCCAAAAGTACCATCTCTGAACCATATAAGCACCTCAGAATAGCCAAAGCTTTTATGGTTTGGTAGATAGCAGTATGGCGAAAGCGTCGTTTTTGGGTGTGGTCAGTTTCGGACGTTTCGCCCCGGATTGGGGTTCGGGCAGCGTTACCATGTTGACCGTCATGGTCAACTTACCCTAAAACAGTTGAGATTATCTGTCCTAAATGAAATGCATACAAACTCATATACAGGTCCTAGACTATAGCTCCACTCAGTTCAATTACCATTATTTATTAGATTGATATAGTATAATGATATAATGAATGAAGTTTGATAATGAATTGTTGCGCGAACTTTTACTGTTTTGATGCATTTTTATTTAGTAGCTAGATTCTGAAAAAGAATTACGGCGACCATTCAGAATGTTTAGAAAATACAAAACAACGGTAACATATTCAAGCTTTCGACTACATTTTAATCATCATTATGAATGATGCTAGGTTACATTACAAGGATATTTTATAAGCCGAAGAATCTAGAGTAATTTCATATTACCGGTGTATATCCATGCCAAGCACGATGTTTTTTATGTATACTTGCCAAGCAAAATTTTGAGTATCATCATTGCCATTGATTTCAAAATTGATCTTATTCATGAAGTTATATTTGTGCCAATTTTACACGGTGCATTTTACTGTGGTGCATGCGATAAATCGGTCCTCTAGTTAAATTAAGACAAAACAGTGGCAAACAGGGGCCGCAGAACCGGGGGCAATGGGGGCATGTGCCCCCACCCCCAACTTTTTCATTTTAAAAGTAAAAAAGTGCCCTTTTTCTGGGCTAAATTAAGTGCCCCATTTAAAGAACGAAAAAAGTATTTCTTTTGCTGGAAAGAAAGTGCCCTTTTTGCAGCCATAAAGACTCTGTAAAGGCGACGATATCATTTCCTACGATATCATGGAGACTCCGTATTTTCAAAAATTTTCGCTCTGCTCGTGAACCAGATATAAAATGGTTTCATTTTGGACATATAAAAGTGCCCCTTTTGGCCAATGCCCCTCCACTTTCGAAATGCTTCCGCGGCCTCTGCGGTGGCAAATAATATCGATCTAACTCGATTTAATAATTGCTTTTTAGCGTCAAGCTAAAAATTGTAGTGTTTAAGGAGAATTTATCACTGAGCGAGATCTGTGCTAAAATAATTCTAGACGTATAGTGCTGTACAAATGTGAATACAAAGCGCAGAAGTCAGTATATACATGAATATTTCGACCAACCACGATATGGCCGTATTTAACAAGCAGATATTATAGTTTTTTATATATTATAAAATTAACTTTCAAACCCCTTTTCCCGTCTCTAATTCTCTTCTACTACAGGAACATCCTGAAACAATGTCAGAATCACACGATTTGTGACTCAAAAATTACTATACAAATATGGATTTCTTATGTTTTGCGTTTACTATATATTATCGTTATATTTTCCAAACCAAAGAGCATTTTTCTAGTGGTGGGGCAATGTCCGGATCCTATTAAATTTCCGAACAAAACTATAATTTATACCCAAATTTGGCCGATTCTCAATTCTGCCACATTCGCGGGAAACAAACTTTTTGTTTGTTGCTCGCCCATATCGGGTCGTCGCGGTGGTCCGCATTACTCTCAAAATAATTCAAATTTAATAAAATGTATTGTTGTCTATTCGAATATTGTCTTTTTTAACAAATTGCGGAGGTGTCTGATACACAGCAAAAAATCATTTTCTTATTAAGAAAAAAATTCTTAATTTAAGAAATTATTTCTTAAAACGAGAAACGGATTTTCTTAATAAGAAAAAGATTCTTGAAATAAGAAATATTTCATTGGCAAGATATTTTTTCTTGAAATAAGAAAAAAAAAATTTTAACATATCTTGGATTATATTTGTTTTCTTAAACCAAGAATGTATTTTCCTACGATTTTTTCATCTTCATATCAATCATTTTGTTAAGAAAATATGATTTTCTTG